GGACAGCCATTTGTCTGAAATGGTATAGGGTTTCCTGCCTGAGCAGGGGGTTGGACTAGATGACCTTCAAGGTCCCTTCCAACTTTATTATTATTATTATTATTATTATTATTATTATTATTATTATTATTATTATTATTATTATTATTATTATTATTATTATTATTATTATTATTATTATTATTATTATTATTATTATATCTTCTTCTATATCTTCTATATCTTCTTTTCACTCTTTTGATGAGATATTGGGATTGGGACCAAGTAAAGAATTATTCCAGGTGAAAGCTTTTCACATGATTAGGGAAATGCTCTGGCAGACAGTGGGTAAATGGATAGGTTTTTCTAAAGCTGCAAAGAAAGGCAGACAGACAGATATTGCTTGTACGTGCCCTCTTTTCAAACATTTTGCAAGCATCTTTGCAAATTTTAATGTTTACTTATTGTGAGCTAAATTCCCCGTTGGCTACAGATGAAAATATGAGTGATATTTTCTTTATATTGGAATATTCATATGTCTTTACCTTTGTTTAATTTTTTATAAAAATAAAAGTAACCCATTTATTTTTTTTCAGGTCAATTTTTTCTTTTTGCTCAACATTGTTCGAGTTTTGGTAACAAAACTGAGAGATACACATCGGGCTGAATCCAATATGTACATGAAAGCTGTCAGAGCCACTTTAATTCTTGTACCCTTATTAGGTATTCAGTTTGTCATTTTTCCTTGGAGACCAGAAAATAAACTTGCTGGAGAAATATATGATTACATCATGCATATTTTAATGCACTATCAGGTATGGGTTTATGATTGTTGTTGTTTTTTTTGTAATGCTGGTAGGTTTCATTTGACAAAAGAATATTTTCCCAGGAAACACAGCTGGCTTCAAATAATGGATTAGTGCCACTAAAGTCAATGAGAGTAAGTCAGCTTTACAGCAGATTAGTTGATTTGTGGGTTATTTTCCAAGTAAAACAATCCACACATAAATATGTGAGATAATTTAGGTGGAGATCTTATGCATATTAACTGAGTAAACATAGCATCTTACGGAAGATGATTTGATGGAAGCATAATTTTAGATCTATCCCTTGTGCTTGAATTTTCCTGTTGAAATACTACCTTACACAAAAGAAAGATTATGTAGGGACTTATGGTATGTAGGGAAAACTAATTTGAAGAAGAAAGAATAAACATATACCCCTCCTTCCTGGCAAATAACTACCTGGGTAATGACTTTAATCTTCCCATCTAAAAATACATTCATGGAAAGAATAAATATTTGTACTTGCAAATCCAAAGAATACATAAAAACGTGAGTGGCAAATTGAGTCTGAATGAGAATGAAAATTGTCACTAAGTATATAATCATTTGGCATTGCTAAGTGCTTTTCCCAACACCATGGGAAGAAAACTACTTTGGCTGATAGCCCATGAATGCATTCCACTTTTTTCTGCTAGTCTGAGATGCTGCTCATTGATCATCCTGAGAGTGCTTGGTATATATTTCCCAGTGCTTGCTATACCTTCTTCAGTGTTCCTCATTCATGGTAACAGGCAGAAACATCAAGAAGACTACGTACTGCTTCTTGAAAACTCTGAAGGCATGGCAGTGTCACCAGGATCATATGGTAATGCGTGGACAAATGCAAGCTAAAACAACATGCAGCCTTTTAATTCCTTTTTTGTGACTTCCAAAGTGATCTAGTTACTGAAAACCATTGGCATGGTTTCTTGCTAACTTAATGGGAAACATTTTTTTAAAATCCAGTAAATGAGCATAATAAATTTGAGTGAGCTAGTTTGGTCTAGCGATTAAGGAGATTGTGACTTCTAGTTCCACATTAGACATGAAAGTTGATTGGGTGATTTTGGGCCAGTTAATTTCACTCAGCCGACAGTGCCAAACTTGGGCAAAAAGTCAGTCGGTCAATTCCTATTACAATGGATCAATATTTTGTTGATACAAAAAATGTGGACCCTGCACTTTTAGGAAAATTCTAGGAAGAAAAAATACTTGGAGGGAAAGGACAAGAAAACTCAGATAATCCTGCTCAGTCCATGGAGATATGACATACTCTTTCCATATTGTATTATGAATTAAAGATGGCCTCAGCCATCAAAGGTTTGCCCACCTTTCCTATAGCTCTTTTGAGCAAAGAGTATCTTATCTGTATGGCAAACTTCTTTTCTTCCTTACCTACAACTTCCTGACACATCAATGTCTGTAAGTAATAATTAGTTCAAAATGCTTTATAATATACTAGTGGGCTAGCCCTTCTAGAGTTAAATAGATCAATAAAAATTTATTTTATGTATTTATATGGCAGTAATTAATTAGATAACCTTTATTGTCATTTTTTACTGTGGACACAACGGCACACATTAAAAATGAAATTTAGTTGCCTGCTCTCAAAGTGTACATATACATAACACACATTTAAACATACTATATACAACATATGTATACATATGTATACCCTTACATATAAGTAACATATAACTATCAATCACTGTCCATCTTGAATACATAACAGAAGGAGGAAGCTTTAGAGTTCGCAAGATTAATACTATATGGCACAAAGCTGTGACTGAATCTGGATGTTCTGCTTTGGATACCACGGAGCCTCCTCCCAGAAGGTAACAAGGAAAACAGATTGTGAAGAGGATGTGTCATGTCCCAGACAATCTTACGGACCCTGCTCAAGCAACGCTTATGTGCTATGTCCTGGAGGGAAGGGAGGGAACTGCCAATGATCTTTTCAGCCATCCTCACCACTCTCTGCACCACCTTCTTGTCTGAAACAGTGATGCTTCTAAACCAGATTGTGATGCTTTATGACAGGATGCTCTCGATCGTCCCTGTGTAGAAAATAGTAAGGACAGGGGAAGGAAGATGTGCTTTTCTCATGCGATGCAGAAGATGCAGGCACTGCTGTGCCTGCTTTACCAGTGTCTCACTGTTGAGCGACCAAGCCAGCCTACTTGTTAACTGCACACCCAGGAATTTTATGCTGGTAACCATCTCCACAGGTGAATCATTAATGCACATTAATGCATGTGGCTGTACCTGCCTTTTCTGAAATCGACAGTGATATCTTTGGTTTTTCCAGTATTTAAAACTGGAAGATATTAAAAAGATTTAATATCTTCTGGTTTGTAGGATCTTTGTAAGCATCTGTCAACCCTTTAAGGAAAACTTAGTCAGGAAACAGACTCCAGAAGAAATACTGGAATCCTACTTCATTGATAGTAATAGAATCTTGAAACACTGTCAGCAGAACTAATTTAAGTTTTTATTCCTGGGCTTAAATCATATTTTGCTAACTGTCACATTCCTTTTCCAGGATCATCTCTGTGATTATCTAGAGCATCTCCCCTGATATAAAAAGCCGTTAATGCAAATTGCCAGAAAATCATTTTTTAATGCTAAACGATGATTAATTTTTTTTTCATGTATTTTCCCAATGCAGGCTTTGAAATCATACTTTCCCCTAATGTAAGCTCCTTTAACATAAGAAATGTTCCTCGTACAGTTTGAATAAATTACATCCCTTCATTGGTTTTTTTGTTGTTGTTTTTCCTAAAAGTTTGATTTGGGAAAGACAATGAATGGTGTTTGATTTTAAGCATCCAAGAAGCACTGCTTGTTCCAACAGTGGAACAACCAGATATGAGCCCAAAGTTGAGAAAATTGTTTATAGCCCTATTTCAGTTCTTGTCTGTATGAAGTCAGAAAACAGTAATGATTTTTTTTCTCCCTGCAATGGTTTAAAAACATGCTTTGGCAGTCCACTTTTGGTGGGCAGGCCTGTCTAAAGATACCTATGAACCTGAGGCATAAATTTGTAGTAGAGCCTCCCCCGATCTGATAATAAATAATAAATAACCAATGGTGAAAATAAATATTATCTTTCCCATTTTTACAAGATCTACATAAAATCTCTTTCTTCCTTTCTCTCAAGTGGGGCTCCATCCTTCCTAGTTCTAAATCAAATACCTACAGTATTGTACAGATAGTCCTTAACTTACTAACATTTGTAACTTTGACTGTTTGAAGTTAATGACAGTACTGAAAAAAGTGACTTACAACCAGTCCTTACAACCATTGCAGCATCCCCCAGGATCCCAGGATCAAAATTCAAGCAACTAGCAAGTGGAATTTATTTACAACAGTTGTAGCCACCTGAGGGTCATGTGATCACCATTTATGACCTTCCCAGGGGGCTTCCAATAAGCAAAGTCAGATTTGGGGGGGAGCCAGATATGTTTAATAACCAAAGTGATTTGCTTAACAAATAGGGCAAAACAAGTTGTAAAATCAGGCATGACTAACAGCCACATCCCTTTGTAATATAATAATAATAATAATAATAATAATAATAATAATAATAATAATAATAATAATAATAATAACAACAACAACAACAACAACAATAATAAAGTTGGAAGGGACTTTTGGAGGTCATCGAATCCAACCCCCTGCTCAGGCAGGAACCCTACACCATTTCGGACAAATGGCTGTCCAGTCTCTTCTTAAAAACTTCCAATGTTGGAGCATTCACCACTTCTGGAGGCAGGTTATTCCATTGGTTAATTGTTCTAACTGTCAGGAAGTTTCTCCTTAGTTCTAGGTTGCTTCTCTCCTTGATCAGTTTCCATCCGTTGCTTCTTGTCCTGCCTTCAGGTGCCTTGGAGAATAGCTTGACTCCCTCTTCTTTGTGGCAGCCCCTGAGATATTGGAACACTGCTATCATGTCCCCCCTCGTCCTTCTCTTCGTTAAACTAGACATACCCAATTCCAGCAACCATTCCTTATATGTTTTAGCCTCCAGTCCCCTAATCATCTTTGTTGCTCTTCTCTGTACTTTTTCTAGAGTCTCAGCATCTTTTTTACATCTTTTACATCTTTTTTAAATGCTACTGAAGATAAGAAAAACCTACTCAAATTATTTAAATTGTAATGGGATGTATTTTGTGAATGAGTCAAACCCATGGATAATATTGAAGAAATCATGTGATTTCCTTCTATTTAAAAACCTTGAATTAAAGTATCATCTGCTCTTAATTCCATTGATAATCACTCATTTACTAAGCCATAATGCAGTTTGGTTTGTTTTAATCTGTTGATATTGTAATTTATAAACCATAGTTTCTACTTTGTCAGAAGGATATACCCTGAGACTGCAAACCATACACAATTCCCAAAACCTAAGTGTGAGATTTGCCAGTTTGTGCAAATCTCCATACAATTTTATGGTTGTGATTTATTACCAATTTGTTCACCCTGTTGATCCATGACTGTTGTGCTAGGTTTGCCACCAATCACATTGTGAAGTTCGCACATGATACAACAGTAGTGTGCCTTATTCATGATGACAGTGAGGGTGCTTACCGTAAGGAGGTTGAGGGGTCGGTGAACTGGTGTCAGGAGAACAGCCTAGTTTTAAATACTGGAAAAAACAAATATCTCATTGTCGATTTCAGAAAAGACAGACACAGCCACACTTCTCTGTGCATTAATGATTCACCTGTGGAAATAGTTACCAGCATCAAATTCCTGGGTGTGCAATTAACAAGTAGGCTGGCTTGGTCGCTCAACAGCGAGACACTGTGAAGTGGGCACAGCAGTGCCTGCATTTTCTGCATCGCATAAGAAAAGCACATCTTCTTTCCCCTATCCTTACCACTTTCTACAGGGGAATGATCAAGAGCATCCTGTCATACAGCATCACAGTCTGGTTTGGAAGCATCACTGCTAAAAAAAAAAGATCATTGGCAGTTCCCTCCCTCCCATCCAGGACATAGCACAGAAGCGTTGCTTGAGCAGAGTCTATAAGATTGCCTGGGACACGACACATCCTCTTCACAATCTGTTTTCCTTGTTACCTTCTGGGAGGAGGCTCCGTGGTATCCGAAGCAGAACATCCAGATTCAGTCACAGTTTTGTTCCATACAGTATAAACCTTGTGAACTCTCAAGCTTCCTCCTTCCATTATATATTCAAGATGGACAATGTTTAATATTCATATGTTATGTATATGTAGGGGTGTAGGTCTATATATATGTTGTATGTAGTATGTATATGTTGTATATAGTATGTTTAGGTGTGTGTTGTGTATGTGTTCATTTTGAGAGCGGGCAACTAAATTTCATTTTTGATGTGTGTCATTGTACTCACAGTAAAATATGACAATAAATGTTATCATATCTTATCTAAAATGATAGGAAACAAGTGTGTTTGGCTTTAAAGGAATTACTGCCTTATTAATCTTAAAAACTATCTTCAACCAATCCCCCCCCCAGGGGACAGTCTTTCCAATTACATATCAATGTATGAAGCCAGCATTGTTACTTTTGTTTAGCTTCTATTTTGTATTATCTCAAGCTGCTTCAAACCTTACAGTTTTTTGTGACCCATAGCAGAATGGCTGAGGTGGGACAGGAAGAAACAGAATGATTCTAGTACTCCTAAACTGTCATGTTTGCATTCTGTATATTGTAATGAAATTATGGAAGCTTAGTACGTGCAGTTGCCCTCATTCCAGATTTTGGATTGCAAGGTTATTCAAATAGGAACAGCATTTCAGGGGCATTGTCCCATGATGCTTAAGATACAATCTCTACATTATTGTGCCTTATCTCTAGCAAAACACAGATGGATTATATTACAACTGCTTTGGAATAATGCTTTAAAAATACTGAAATAAATGCATTAAAATGTGTCCACTGATTAAGTCATAGATATTTCTTAGTCATTTCTTCCTTGGAATTATTGGATATATAATTTTTTTTCTTCACTCTCTTCCCCCTGAATAATTACCAAAGCACTGCCATGTTGTAGTGCATCCTTTCTCAAACTGAGTCTCTATTGGAACTACTATTCTCAAGAGTAGCAAACATGATCAGGTAATCCAGTGGCTCAGAGTTCTAGAAGCTGTAATTTCAAAGAAATTTAGTGGTCCTGTTGGAGAAGGCTGCATTGATGGAAGAACAATAGTTTTAGGCAAGGACAGTAGCTTCAGGTTCAAAATGTTATAAAGCAAACAAGCTATTTTTTAATGAGCATTAGTTATTTTGAAATTACCTTACTTATTGCCATTAGCCTCTTCATTGTTTCTTACATAGCTCTTGTATTTGCCTCTGGTAGTATTGCCTACAGAATAGTGAATTAAAATCTGATTTCAAGACCATCTGAACACGTTCAGATCAGATTACACTTGGGCAAAACACAATATGTCTATGAAACTGCATGACCCAAAATGTTTTTATAAATGAGATAGAAACATTTTTTAAAAGGAGGAAAGTTGCTATTACAAAAGGACTGCAATATTATATACATTTATTAAATTGCTTATGAAAATTATAGAGAATTCAGAAATGCTTATTTCCAGGTGTGTGTGTGTGTAATACACACAGACACACAAAGGGACACATAAATATGTCTTTGTATGTGTTTATTTTTGACGCACAAATGTGCAGTCTTTTAATAACTGTGGTCTGCATTTAATAGTTTTAGGAAGAGTAAGGACTACAACAGGTGGAGAAATTAACAAGCAGGGTATGGACCCATAAGGCCAGGGTTTTATTTCCACTGGGTTTGAAAAGAAAATAGCTTTTTAAAATCTATGCTAAGACAATTTTAGGGCAAGTTCTACAATTTGTCTTATTTCCCACATCATAATGCAGGTATTGATTCTTGTGACTGGCATGGGCTCTAAGGCCACAACAAATAATTAGGGATCATGTATCAATGGGTAGAATTGACATATCTGAACTACAACAATCCAGATGTCCTCTAAATGGCAGCAAAGAGTTTCTTGTATCCTTGTGCCATCTAATGAAGAGTTGGATTTTGGTAGCTCATTTAATGACAAGCCTATTGATGGGATTTTAGAACTTCCACTTCTATTTTGCCTGATGAGCAGGGGGGTGGACTAGAAGACCTACAAGGTCCTTTCCAGATTCTATTCTATTCTGTTCTGTTCTGTTCTAATTCTAAAATAGGAGACAAGAAATGGAAACAAGGAAATAATAGGCAAGAAAGGGAATCACATGAGTTCTGCTGACAAAAGATCACCCAATCCAAAGCTGTTGTGTCCTTTGGGAAAAATATCACAATTGCCATCAATAAAGCTTGCACCAAATAAATGTTTCTCTTTTTTTCAAATGTTCCAAAATGCTGTGCTGCTTGTCCTGTATTCTTTTGGAAAAGAAATAAGTAGTTTCAGACTGTTAATTTTCTCTATAAGCTAGCATTTGAATGATAACTTTTTTTCCACAAATTTCTCCACTCTTTGTGAAAATAACACTTTCTATCAAATGACTTGTTTTTTATGGGGAAAAAGGGTGAATACTTGAATACTTGAAAAATGCCACATTTTATTTTACAGAAGAGGCATCCACAGGAGGCAGAGAAGGGGGTGTCAAAAAGTCATGACATTGTCATGATGACCATAGTTGAATTTTCTTACATATGTTACTGGTTCAGTACTTGTTAAAAAGGAGCAGGGGTTTAGACGAAGTGTATGGGGAAAAGTCCAACATGATAATTACTCAATAGGAAAAAAAAGGCAGAAGGTATAATTGTATGGGTTTATAATTTTTGCATTGAAAAATTATATATATGGAGTTGGACTTTGCAGGTGTCATCTTGACTTTTTGAGAGTCCACCTTGACTCCCATTGTGGATATCCTTTTGTTTTGTCTCTAATCAAGGAAAACTAAATGTAAGGAATAAATTGTGAAATTCGGGACAGACAGAATGAAGTGTTTCACATCAATATGAAAATGTAACTGAAGATCAATAATAGAATTTCTTTTCATTATGTGTGGTGATAATTCCTAAGTACCATTGAATCAGAACAGTATCAAGACATTCATTTCTATCCTTCTTAATTAAGACTTTAGGATGCATGATTAGCTTTTAAATGGTTTTAAAAGGAGATTAGAGAGAGGAAGAAACTAGAGAAACAGATGAGGATTAGCTCATTAATGACCTGGTTATCTGTTTTCTATAACAGGATGCTAGGTTAGATAGCTCTTTAATCTAGCAGAATTCTTGAATTGTGATCTATTATACTCTACGTATACCTACAGTGAAATATTATAAAATATATCCATTTTATTTCATTCTATAATTTCTGTATTCATAGAAGCAATCTGAATAATTTGCATTTCATTTTTCCTTTCAGGGCTTACTTGTGGCAACTATTTTCTGTTTCTTCAATGGAGAGGTAAGCAAATAAACTTCATTTCATGTAATTTAATAATGCCATTTAGCCCTAGTATGTTAAGTAGAATTCACTTTAGATTAGCTTGGAAAACAAAACAAATTGCTCCCAACAAATGACAGAAATACCTTGGTTGACATTTTGAGCCAGGTCAATTTTAGTCATTGATCAGAAAACTGTCTTTTAACATTTAGCTTAACACTGCACGCATGGTTTACCAATCCATTCTACCTCTGCTGTTTTAGTAGTTACCATTTGTGTTAATTTGTTGTTAAAATGTTAATACATTTTATAAGGATTTTTGTGAGCTTTTATTATTGCCTTGTTACTCTGCAACCCGCTGCTGTAATGTGACTAATAAAAATACAATGAAGAAATGAATCTTTAGGAAATGAATGAAATCTTTAGGATGAGCTAGGAAAAAAGTGCTGATTTCGGTATGGGGAAGTACAGCAAAAGATTTTAATCCATGTTACAGGTAAGCCTCGATTTATGGCCATTTGTAATGATAGTGGTAAAAAAAAGTGTCTTATGACTGATCCTCACATTTAAAACCATTGCAGCATCCCCATAGTCACCTGATCAGAATTTGGCCTCTTGGCAACCAGCATGTATTTACAATGATTATTGCAGCTCAGGGTCACTGGGTCACAGTTTACAGCTTTCCCAGCCAGCTTTTAACAAGCATAGTCAACATGGGAAGCTGGATTCACTTAACAACCATGTGATTTGCTTAACAACCATGGCAACAATTGGGCAGGACTCACTTAATGTCTAGCTCACTTAGTGACAGAAGCTCCAGTCTCAATTGTGGTCATAAGTCAAGGACTACCTATAAATTAAAATTCTGAAGGTCCTAAATATTAAATGTTCACAGCAAGAACTCACCAACATCAAGAATAAGTGTTTTTAAAAGTTTTGGTATGACTGGATTCATGATAACTATTAATAGTGCATGGATTAATTAATACAGTTGCTTACAACAGCAACTACAGTCATGTTCAATTGTCCATATTTACATAATCCGAAGCGACTCCTGGGCTGGGGGGGAAAAAACTACTGGGACCATATGTCTTCCATTTATCTTCCTCTGGATTAAATTATGCTTTTGATACTGAATTGTATATCCCTACTCCAGATGAGGTTGTGGAGAACTTGTCAAGGTCTAGTGGCTTTGAAGGTCTGGATGGGTTAAAACATTCTGAATTTGAATTCAAGAAAAACTGATTTGGAATTTGTCGATCATGACTCTCTGTCAGTTCCAAAGTTTCTCCCCAAGGGAGTGACACTATCCATGATTGATTTGGGATGTGTGATTTGGTGATTCTCCTGGATTCATGGCTGCTGATGGACAAGTAGAAACAGATATGATTTTACATATATCTAGAGCCTGCAGATCCTGATATAATAAATCATGTCCTCACTAAATCACTATAGTAAATTACTGTGATATTTAGATTGCAGTAACATGTTCTGTGTGGGGCTGTTTAGATCAAAGTACAAGGGGGGAGGGAATATGACAACCCACTTGCTAACAGGCTTCCAGAAATATATAGCACTGGTATTGTGGACTATGCATCGGCTCTCAATAATTTTACAGGTACAATTCAAAATTCTGGGTTTGATATATAAATTCCTAAACCATACCAAGAGAGACTATTGACTGTCCTAGTTTCATAATATGAGTGAGGATAAATCTGGAGTTGTTTTTTATCAGAAGTGATCAAAGTGATCCTATAGAAAGCCACCCGTTGCATGTTAAATTATCTCCTTTAATATCATTCCAGTAGATGACAAAAGAAGAGCTCTGCCAGAGACACCACTGATTGTCTCTGTTGTTATAATTATTTCTTTTTTGTTGGCTTGATAATGCTCTGACAAATTGTTGTTTAAATTTAATTTAGCTTTAATTTAATTTTATTTGATATGGATTTTAATTAACTGTGAAAGCACTGTGAGTTCTAAGTAAATAAGCACAATAAATAAATAATGTCCCAAAGTCTTTTTGCAATTCTAGTATTCTAGCAATTTGAATATGGAAGAAATTAAAGGCATGAGAATCATGTCAGTTTATTTTTAAGTCTGTCTCTTGATCCCTAGCATCTTTGCCTTTTGCTCTTATTAAAAAAATGGAAAAAGTCTGGTTTTCATAGCACTGAAGCCAGTCCTCTTCAAAATCTCAACATCCTTGAGCATCATTTAAAAAAATAATAAACCATAGATGAAGCAATAGATTATATAAATCAGTGTCATCTTGCAAGTTTTGCTTAGTTCTTTCCATACTGGTTTGAGTAGATTGATATTGAACATGATAGATTAATGCTATGGTTTTGGAGATTAGCTGCTGTAATTTGGGAGAATAACCTGGCTCCCACTAACCACAAGTTCCACTTGAAAGAAATCAGTTATTTAAGTCATTTTACTGTGGAAAAAAGTATGTGAATTCTCTGCATTAAATGATCATCCCTTTGATAAGATCAAGCACCTTTAAAAATACAATCAAAACAAATTTAAAATATCAAGATACAGATGGAAGGGTGCTAATAATAGAATTACAAATTGAGCAGAAATCATGGCTGTTGGTGACAATTTATGCTCCAAACGAGAACCAAAAAGAATTCTATAAAAAATTACATGAAAAACTTATAGAAATTGGACAGGGAAATATTTGTATAATAGGAGATTATAATGCAGTAGTGAATGTAAAAAAGGATTATATTAGTAACACGAAAAATAAAAAGAAACGGAAAATATTACCAAGGACATTTTTTGAGATGGCCCATGAACTCAATCTATCTGATCAATGGAGGAAACGGAATCCAATAAAAAGGAATACACCTTTTTCTCGAATCCACATAAATCGTGGTCTCAGTTGGACATGGCATGGATGAATGGGGAGATAGGACAAGATTTAGAAACAATAGAAATATTGCCAAATACATGGGCCGACATAATCCATTAAAAGTAGTCTGGACAGGTCAGAAAAAAGTAAGGAGAAGATGGACACTGAACTTAATCTTTTTTCTACATGACCAAAAATCAAATTTTAGTGATGGAATTTCAAACTATTTAGATGATGCTATACTTTACTGTGAAGGTAATATACTTCAGTAAGACATTTGGCAAAGTAGACTTCATTCTACATCTTGGTAAGACACCACAATGTGGGATAGGTAGTACCACACCTGGCTGACATACTCTGTGTGTAGTCCTCAATGGAATTATATCCACTTAGAGAGAAGCTTGCAGGCTCCGTTTTGGAACCAGTGCTCTTTAGCATCTTCATAAATAATCTAGAATGGGATAGAAGGGTTGCTAACACCAAGCTGGGAGGAATTGCTAACACTTTGGAAGATAGATTCAAGATTCAGAAGGATCTTGACAGAATAGAGCAATGGGCTCTATCCAATAAGATGCTGTGATGAGAAAAGTAAGGTCCAATGCTTAGGCAGGAAAAACCAAATGCACTAGTATAGAAAGGACAATTCCTGGCTCAACAGTAGTAACTATGAAAGGAATCTAGTAGATCACCAGTTAAGTCCTAGTAGATCACCAGTTAAGTGTGAGCCAGCACTATACTGAAGCTGTCACACAAAAAAAATACAGTCCTAGACAGCATTAACAGAGGGATAGCATCAAGATCACAAGAAGTGATAGTCCTGCTGCACTAGTGAAACCACATTTGGAATACTGCATCCAGTTTTGATTCCCACAATACAAAAAAGATGCTGAGATCCTAGAAAGAGTGCAGAGAACAACAAAGATGATAAGGGATTGGGAGCCTAAAGCATACAATGAACAGTTAAGGGAATTAGATATGTCCAGCCTAATGAAAAGAAGGATTAGGAGTGAAATGATAGCTATCTTCCAGTACTTTTGAGGGGCTGTCATAGAGAAGAGAAATTGACTTATTCTCTAAAGCAGGGGTCCCCAGCCCATGGGCTGCAGCCCACTACCGGGCCTTGAGCTGATCAGAACCAGGCCATGGAAGTAGATGAGCATGTGCACACGAGCTCCATTTGTGTATGCATATGCGCACTTGCCCACTGAACCACCACCCACTACCAGTCCACAAAAATGGAAAGGTTGGAGAGCTCTAAAGCAGGGCTTTTCAACCAGTGGTATGTGTACCACTGGTGGTACGTCAGCACCTGGCAGGTGGTATGTTTATGATGGGTTAAAAAGCACCTGTAAAAAAAGTATTAAAAAGTGTAAAAGAGTAGTGTGGGGATGAGATGAAATGGCGGCAATGCAGCAGAGGCCTGTGGGAGAGCCAGCTGGAGCCGCAGTGTTGCCAGGGCTCTGCTGAGCACCCAGGATCTGCGCCAGGCTCCAGCTGATTGGCGCTTCTGGAAGCTGTGCGCAGCCTGGGGAAAGGAATCAGTTCCAACTACACTGAAAACAAAAGGAGGAGGAGGGGATAGACATGCCCGCTGGGTGTTTACATTTGGCCCGGGGCCGCCCTGGAGGCAGCGAGGGGCCGGCCCACCCCAGCCCGCAATCAAAGGAAAACCCTGAATCCAGCGGGCCAAAAGGCAGCCCAGCCACCGCGTCCCTCCAGTTCCTTCTCCTTGGCCCCTGGGCACAAATGCAGTCACTGCTCTTTGCCATAGCTGAGGCTGGACTTGCAAGTACCTCCATCTGCTTCGTCCTGCAAAGCGGCGCTCGCCTGAGACTCCCACCCGCCACCATGCTGGCAGCCTCGACTAAAGGCCACACGTTCCAGCCTCACCCAGTCAAAGAAGAGGGCGGCAGGTTGTCAGGAGCACTCAAAGCTGCCCAACTTTACTCCAGGATTTTGGGGTTGGAAAGTGGAGGAGCAGCGCCGCATTTACAAGCCTGGCAGCAGCTTCTGGAAAGCTTCCTACTTCCCCTCCTCCCTGCAGCTACCTCCTTCAGAGCCATCCTGATTCCGATGGGCCTGCCGGCATGGCAGCGGGCAGAAGCCCCGGGTGAGCCGCGCTTTGCAGGATGGAGCTGGCAGGTCTATGCCAGCAGGCCTG